GAGCCACCTGCATGATCAAAGGCCAAGAGAGCAAGCCTTATGAGGAGAGGCTGAGGGACATGGGACTCTTCAGCTTGGCGAAGAGAAGGCTCAGCGGGGGGACTTGGTGGCAGCCTTTAAGTATATGGGGGGCAAAGGGGGCATCAGGATCTGGGAGGACAGTTGTTCACCAGGGCTACCGCAAGGGATAACTAGGTCTAATGGCCACAAACTTCTAGAAGGCTGATTCAGATTCAATATATGGAAAACTTTCTTTACAGTCTGAGTGTCCAAGGTCTGGAACCCCCCAGACTCCCCCCAGAGGTGGTGCAAGCACCTACTCTGGACTAATTTAAAAGGCATTTATATATTTATCTTGCTGGGATCATTTGATCCCTGCAGACTTCCTGCTTCTGGCAGGGGGGCTGGACTTGATGATCTCATAAGGTCCTTTCCAGCCCCTAATGTCTATGAAATTTATGAAAGATAAAATGTCCATGTATTACACGTCTAGTTGTATCAATCTGAATGTGGCAGTTCCATCCAGTTGTGACTGCTCTCAAGTGATTGAAAGATGTAGATGTGGTGATGATTTGTGTGTTGTGTAATATCAGATTACTGAGAACTGGACTGGGATCACTGCAAGTGCCTAGAACAGTGGTCCTAGAATCAAGCTTCTAGGCACTACGGCAATACACTCAACAGCTACTAAACAGCCATCAGACAGGAACAACATTTAATTGCTACTGACCTTGGCTAGATTCAGACTGGTACCTTGGGGGTGACCTTGGAGACTCTACAGTTGTTAGCAATCCTATACCTCACCCAGTCCTTCTCTGTTTCATGGTGCTGGTAGTACTGGAAAAGACCCCTGTTCAGTTATCTAACATGTCCATTTGTATCATGGTAGGGCCAGTGCCATTTTTGGACAGCAAACATTTCTGACAGGCTTACTTTATTTGGTATGTCTATTGGTAGAAAAGGCAGAATCCAGTACAAATGTCCTGGGTATATTGGCTTCAGTTATTTCTGTTTCTGGAGACATTAACGGTTACTACATTTTTGGCAGCATGAGCAGCACAGACTTGGGTTTCCTCATCCTTCTACAAAAATTCCTTTCTTAATTGTCTAGCCAGCATTGAGAAAGAAATCTGCATGAAATTAACATGTTTACATTGCTTTCTGGAAAATCTCCTGCTTTTAATACCCTGGTAGGATCTAAATTCTCCAGCACGTAAAAACTCACCACCAAAGCTTTATACACTGGATGTACACAAGCTGCAAATGTTTACAAGCAAAAACCATTTACCAGAACTCAGTACAATGACTTGCCATTGATTCTACGTCTCTCTGCTTCTTTCTTGTTTTTCTTGTATAAATTAGCAGTCATGCTAGGAAAGAGTTTTAAACGCTTTCTTTTTTTTCTTGAAAGATAATTCTCTAGCTCTTTAATGTTCTTCCTACACACCAGCCATAAAAATGTCTCTCTCAGGGTCCATCTAGACATTCAAGTAAAGGTGTGATAGGACCTAATATACAATCTACACAATTGCATCTCCTGCCATGCCACATGTGAATGGCAGGAAGCATGATTGCAGGATCCAGCATCAGATCCACTCATGCATTACTGCATTATCCTATCATGAGCCAGGGTTCCCCCATGCACCAGCTCCTGCCCTGCAAATGGAAGACTCATCAGGTGATGGGACTCCTAGCCACAACAGCCCAGGGCAGGGTACCATAGCTATGAGTTCCTTCAGCTGTGGGACTCCCAGCTGCTGCAGCACATGATGCATCCACATGGCTGGGAGCTGATGGGGCTTCCAGCCATAGGGGCACAGGTATGCTACGTGTGCAAAATAAAGCTGGATAGAAACCAGCTATAATGTTAGTACACATTTTCCAGTTCTAATTTTATAACTGGACAGACCTTTTTATGGCATGATAGCTCATTTGCATGTGTAGCCAGTCTAAATTAACTGCACAATTAACCCAGTAATTGCATCATTCATGTAATGATAGGGGGGAGGCTCAGTCAACCATCTGCCTTTTTGCTGTGCCAGTAAAAGAAGCCCTGTGAGAATTAATAGAGTCATAAGCTTATTTCTTTACCAACACATCAGACATCATAAAGCAGTTTTTGTGAACCAAAAACACAATGATAAATTTAACTGACTGAGCATTTAACAACTAAAAAGAGAACATAAAGGACTAATGCACTGGGGTCATAAAATATGATATTTATTGTTCAGATAAATGTTGCAGAGGCGTTGGGACACCATTGTTATGAACTTAAGATGATAGGTAAGTAGACAGGATTATCTATGTTCCAGGTTATAAAGGACTCCTTTTATCAAGTCAGTCTTTTGTTCCCAAAGTTACATAAATCATGAGCTTCCTTGATCATGTCTGCAATGCATGGATATTTACACAGCACTTTAAGTTCTTCCCAGGCATGCCCTGGGCTGTGAGTAAAACCTAGTATGTCTTGTTTGAGGGTGATCATATTTGGTTCTTTTCCAAATCCTGGTAAGAAATGGAGGCGGCATCTCCAGGAAATCATAAATACACTTCTTAAAATAGGTTTAAGATATCAGCAACGAATGGAAAGGAAAGGAGTACAGTATGTGCAGAATAAAGTATCTTTGTTTCAGACAATATAGCATTGACCATTTTAAACATATTTTATACCAAGTAGAGAAATGTTCAAAGATAAGAAATCCATTACACTCTTTTTCATATATTCTTCTGAAGGCAAGAACCAATTCAGCTAAGCGTGTGTCTACATAGGAGCCTACAGATGTGCCTGCAGCTTGTGTAGACATATTCAACCTGGTTCTAAACTGCAGTGTCGCTATGGTGGCTTCTTCTGCAGCTGAGTACTTATCCAGGGTGCTGGAGAGGCTTGTGCTGTTTGCATTGAAGGCCATGCTACTACAGCTAGACTGCTGCTTGTACCCAAGCTGCATTAAAGCATGTCTACATTGGCTTCTGTATTGTGTTTGAGATAGCCACCAGGAAGCTACCCATTTGCTTCATCTCATTACATGCCAACTCACAAAATGAGGTACTAAAACTACATTAGAACAGTGCTGAGTGTCAATCCAGAACCATTTAGGCTCTCTGGATCTGCCTTGCCCTGAGGTGAGATATGCACGGCATGGGAGCAAGCTGCAGGAAGAGGGGCTAATGCTTCACAGCAGGGCTCCCAGGCATGGCCTGGTGAGCAGGAGACAGAGAACCACTTCTAGTTTTCACATCCAAATAAAATAATTAAGATACAGCTACAGATCCAGATATCACTGACAGAGGGAAAACAGGTTGATTTTCAGATTCTATATTGTGTCTGTAGAGCTGATGGGAGAAAAAAAATCAAACTTTTCCCCCAGATGATCAAATCAAATGGCAGGATGTTTAAACTGGTCAAACTTAATATGAAAAAATCATTGAGGAAAAAATAAACATGAAGCATCATGATTAGAACCAGTCAGAGAAGGTCTTGGCTTGGGCAACTGGTGCCTACTGAGTTGGGGGGGGGGGTCACTTGTCCCCCCAGCAGACAGTCAGCGACCGGATGGGGGGGTCCCCTGCGGCCGATCTTGCCGACCCACAACTGGCACTTCTGGGTGCCGCTGGCACTTCAGGGTTAGTGGGATCGGCCACAGAAGGACCACTTCTCCTGGTGCATTCCCTGGTTGGCACTCTCAGGGGAGTGGACCAAGGCTCTCGCCTGCCCCCGCTCCTGCCCAGGAACACTGGCTGTCAGGGGGTGCACCACCGATCTCAGGGAGTACACGTGCACCCTCATGCACCCTCTGTGCATCACCACTGGGTCTTGGTTTTCCTACAAATGATTTCAAGTTTTGTTAAAAAATAAAAACAAAAACACATCCAACCCCCAAATCATCCCAAAAGAAATTCAGCACTTTCTAGGGAAAACAAAATACTTCATGAAAAGTTTCTGTTTCTAGAGTCCCATTTTGGAGACATCTTGGCATAGTACCACAAGCTGCACGTATATGAGATTGATATGAACAATTTGTGTAACCAGTAACAATTTTCCAGTGCTTAAACAAAATGCATAGCTCTCATTTGGCACTAATGAGAGCTCTTGAGTATCTCTGTAGAAATCAGCTATGAAAGAGATTTGATTTTTACCTAAGTTCTTAGCTGGATTAGACCATGAAACTTCTTGGTGGGATCATCCAAAAGATTTTTCAAAATAAAAAGCTAGAAGGCTTCTTGGAGACTATAATCTTTGCAATGCTATAGTGGATCTTCAGCACAATATTTCATATGTAGCTGTCAAGACTGCGGGCAGTCAACTCGTTCAAGTTAGAAGTACCTGTGTGCACTAAAACCAGTGTATAAGGCTAGTTACACAAATAGTAAGGGAGCTTCCAGGCGAGCATGCACCTGAGGTTTGTGGCACTGCAGACACATCCGTGGCACCGCAAACCACACGTCACACATACAGGTGTTCCCCACGCTAGTAATTTGCAGCACAGTGTGTGGGGGGGTTTGACACTGGGAGATTCTGGTGTCAAAATAACCCACAGCAGAAAAAAGCAGGGTGACACACGTGGTGGCAGTGTGCGCTGCCTGCAACCGGAGCCTGGCTGGGCAAAGCCATGCTCTGGCTGCCAGCCAGGCTCTGCGCACCTGGATAGCTGCTGCTGGAGCCCCAGGAGGCCCCCACGTAAGGCTTCTGGGGCCAGCCCAGGTGCTCACCCCATCCTCCACTACCCCACCCAGGGCAACTTGCTGCACACCAGAACACACATGTATGGGTATTGCCCAGGGACAAGTAGCAGCGGCAGAACTATGTGCCGCTACTATTCGACCCTGGGGAAATGTACATGCTTGCTTGTCTGGATGTGCCCCAAGTGTGCACCTCAGCTGCCTGTCCTTTAGATTTAGGAAATGCACAACTCACATGGGAATAGAGCGAATGCTGGCTGTGGAGCCGACACTGTGCATCTTGCAACTCATCTTTTCCTTCTGGTATTTTTTGGTTATAGATCCCCCAGTTATTTTCTCTGGAATTAAAGACCTGAAACTTATGAAGACAACACAGTCTGGATTTGAAAACTTCCACAGGGACAAATACACCACGCTTCCTGAAAGAAAGGACAGGGTGTTGTGTGGAGAACTATTTGTCAAGTGGAACTATGTGCAATGCACACATGTTGACTTTGACTGCATCTGGTATGTACCAAATTGAGTGATATCTGATGGCTTATTCTTGATGTCCTCTACAAAAGTCCAAATCTTCCATGTGTAGAAGGTACTGCTAAAAGACTGTGCCTTCAAACCAAGCCCACATTTTGTTACAATTAAATCTGCCTTGTTTAGATTTTTTGGTGCTGATTTTCACTGACTGACCACCCACAGCTCTCACCCAAATAAAGTGCGAGTATTCAGTACTTCAGTAATGCAAATTGATATAGATCCATGGAGCTATGCAGATTTAAACCCACTAGTGATCTGGCAGCTCTGTTTTGAACTGGATAGTTTGCTTTTGGATACAGAACACTTAAAATATGAAGTCTCATCAAGTTAGCTAAATACCTCATAATAAAGCAAATGCTTTCTTTATTATAGGGTTGTGTGAAAGGAGGTTCAGGTTGGCAGAGGAAGGGGCTTAATTCAAACATACAAGTACTAAGTAAGATCTATGGTCAGTAACTTTGGATCTGTACTTTTATCAATTATTTTTAGGAACACTGCTCGAGAGTGTGTCCTTGAGGCATTTTCTGGGCCACCTGACTGTGGAAAGTACTCACCCTCTTACCAGAAGACTGTCAATGATATTCAGATGCTCATCCTGGAAAAAGTTCCACAGGTCTTGCTTTCTCTGGTTAACATTTTCCTTAAACAACAAATACAGGTGTAGGTCCACTGAAAGGGCTGAGCTAACACAATCTATGCTCTAATTTGTTTAAATAATCTCAGCAAAAAACCTGAGCTGTCTGAAGCTACAGTTAGGTATTCTGGGAAAATATGAATCTGCCCAAATCCTCCATTGTGTGAGGTAGTGATACTTCCTATAAAGGTAACAGGAGAGAAGGGCACTTAGCATTTCACAGGATAAGACTGAAAAAAAAAACCGGAAAGAGTTAAGCATGGCCCCAACTTTACATTGAACAATAGCTTGCTGTAAGAAACACTATACTTTGCTTTCCCTGTGGATCTCAGTTTTAACTTCTTAATTTTCTATTGCTGAGAACAATTCCAGAGAGTCAGACAGTATGCTGCCAGTGAGCTGCAGGTTGGGGGCCGCAGGTATAGGACAAATGCTCACATATTTCTAAAATGGATCCACTTGATCATCTGCACTCATTTTCCACGTGACATTTTTCCACTGTTTCTTGTTACAACCAGTGGATACTTTATCCAATTGCCATGTGGGACAGTACTGTCATAAACTGTGACATTTACTCTTTGGTTTCAGGTAGATATAATTGAAACTACTTTGAACAACATTTTTTATGAAGTAGTAGACATGAAGAAGCTGGGATTGCCCAACAATAAAGAAGTAAGTAAATATGAATGCACTGTATCACCAGAAAAGCCTAACCCATTACATCTGATTGTAATCTTACGTAAAACAAGAGTTAAGACTAATTTTGATCTTGCATTTAAAGGGGATTAATCTTGCATATGGATTGCAGAGTCTTACCAATTGTTCTCACGTGCTGCTGCTAAGAGCTCATGTAGGGTTGAATCCATTTTAGACCAAAGGACATTTTATTTATTACCATTATGGAAAGCACTATTGAAAGAGAACTATTATTTTTTCTGCAGAGTTTGATGTTTAGTGAATAGGTTAATCTGCATAGATTTGAACTGGCATAAAATGTTTGGTAACTCAAATATAAAGCTCTGAAGCTTGATTCGCTATTTCACTACAGCAACTGCTTTCTCACTCCCATGACCTCTTAGAGTGCTTCCCCAGGCCAGCTGAAAATCAAGTTACCCTGATGTAAAAATCAAGTTACCCCAACGTAAAACTGACATAAACTGCAAGAAAAATTAGGCTATTTGATTTTTATGGTTGCCCTTTTTCACAGATAACTGGATTACAGTCTCTTCCTTCACTACTTTTACTATTGCACCCTTCAGAATAGACATTAAAAGTCAATAGCAAAATCTCCTAGTGACTTCAAATAGGGCAGGAATATTTCCTTTGATCATGATGTTTTGAGTTTCATATTTATTTCAGTGCTATGAAATCTCAGCTGGAATTGGATATACCAGCTGGAAAGAGTTATTCATCTATGTCACCTTATGTTCAGGTTCTGACTCCAGTGGAGGCTCCATTTGGTACATGCACTTGTATACTCCGTAGGAGTAAGTGCTTAGAAGTGCAAGGCCAAGATGAAGGACATGAGAAGCAATCAGCTGCATGGACGCATCGACATCAGATGAGCTAAAATGCTTGGGCTCTGTTGACACACACCGGATGAATTTAATATGTGGCTTTCTTTACTATGGTTGTTCATTCTAATCCTTGTCCCTTTTTCCTATCTCCTGAATTTTGCCTCCACAAAGTTAGAGGATTTTCAAAGGAACCTAAGGAATTAAAAATCCAAATCCCATTGAATCTAAGGTGATTTGATCACATAATTCCATTAGGTTGCTTTGAAAACCCCAGTCAAAAACATTAGAATTAGGTCATTAGAAAACAACTGTTTTCATGCTTATGGTCAGTGAGTTACATAATGTCTCTAATGCACTTTGTAATGTAAAAAAACCTGAATTCTACAAATTATTATTAATGTTTTTGCATCCCTTTATTGTCATGAAAATGCATATAAAAACAAAAGCCCAGATCCTTAACTAATGTAAACAGGGATGCTTTGGTGGAGTTACAATTTATTTATACAGCAGATGATCTGGCCTGATGTTTGTAAATTTAATAATTGAGATTATGACTTATATTATTGATTAGCCCCTGATGTCTTTACAAAACAAATGAAGAAACAAAGCAAACATCTATCTAAATACAATATCTGCTTACAATAATAATTGTACAGATGTTGACTAATTTCTTTTTAAGTGTTCTAATTATATGGTTTCTGCTTTCTTATTCATCAGATAACCAGATATGGGGGATTATACAACTATACAAGTACTTTTATGTTAATCACTTAAGTGCTTGAGGTAGTGGGCTATTTTTGTGGGGTAATCTAGATTATCTTTTTTAATGTAACAATATAGTCATGATTTTTGTGCAGACTGAAATTAACTCAAGAAACAAGTGAATGCCTCGTGGAACAGAAAAATAGGTAGACAGTTTACTTTATTTACAACGTTTTAAAATGTTAGTTACTTCAGGACATAGTTTTGAACAGAGATACTTAATAGTAAAACCAGCACATCTTGTACCTACATCTCGCCACCTAAAGCTAACACATTTACACGAGAAATCCTGTTCAACTCCTCTTAGCTTGTAATTCTGACTTCAATTTCCCAGAGTGGAATTTTTGAAGGTGTTGAAGTAAAACAGAAATGCAGATTCATATTACTAAGTCACTTAACCAGTTTGGATATCCCAATCTGAATAAATGTCTTTGTGCCTTAAACTTCTCACCCAATATATTTAGAATTGTGTCATTCTCCTGTGCTTTACCATCTACACTGGCTTGCACTGAACCTTGGGAACACATCCTGAATGGCTTTTGGGGACCTAGGAGGTTGCTTTGCGACACAGAAACGAGCCATCTCTCACTGTACGCTGTTCCACCTCCTATAAGAAAAAGGATTGTTCACCAGGATGCGAAACCTCACTAGAGACAAACACTAGAGATCACATCAAGGGATGAATTTTCTCCTGCTAAGCTCTTTGTCTGGGGTGGTTACCAGTTGATTTAAAGTGTTTGAGCTATTATACTTTTAACCTTTTGTGGGCATGTTTCTTCCTGCCTTAGGTTGCTTATTGTATTGCACTGAAGGGTTTTGTTCCTTTATCAATTCTGATGTATTATAATGATAGCATAGGCTTGGAGTGTATCTATATATCTGAGTGGGAAAATAAAAAGCAAAGTTAAAAAAGTACCATTTGTTATTTATTTAAAGATTAACACATATGGCTTTCCTAAAAATGAATACATACTAGCATAAAGTAACAGTTCATTTCAATCATCCTATTTAACCAAATGGGAAAATAAAGTGAACAGTGCTTCCTAATGATCTTATGATGTGAGGAAGAAACTTCTGTTATCCTAATGAAGATCAGCTGTCAACTAAAAA